AGAAGAACGGCGACGCCACCGAGGTGACCTTTGAGGCCACCTTGGAGGAGGATATCCTCGAGGAGGACCACACGACCAACCTGACGGATCGCGTGCCGACTTTCCACGGATACTCGGCGAGCGGGAACGTCACGGCGCCCTTCGTGTTTGCCAACTTCGGCACCGTGTACGACTTCCAGGACCTGATTGACGCGAACGTCAGCCTGGCCGGCAAGATCGCCATCTGCAAGTATGGCCGCATCTTCCGCGGGCTGAAGGTCAAGCGGGCACAGGAGCTCGGCATGGTGGGTGTCATCTTGTACGATGACCCGGAATCGGACGGGGAGATCACCGAGGAGAATGGCTACGAGGCGTATCCCAAGGGTCCTGCGCGGAACCCGAGCGCCGTGCAGCGCGGTAGTACGCAGTTCTTAAGTTCGTAACTCCCTTTTTTCACCTACTTCCGGCTACATCCTAGCTCCCGGTGTGACTGATCATGACCCCTAGGCATAGCGCCGGGTGACCCGACTACCCCCGGGTATGCCTCGAAGCCCGGCTGTGAGCGACAGGACCCGTTCCACTCGATCCCGTCCATTCCCTCCCTGCCTATCTCGTACCAGGAGGTGATTCCACTTCTGAAGGCATTGAATGGCCATGGTCCCAAGGCCTCGGACTTCAACAAGTGGTGGCAGGGCGGTAAGCTGCGGTCGAAGGGTGTAGAGTATAACATCGGTCCCACCCCGGACGATGTCGTCATCAACTTGTACAATGAGCAGGAGTATGTGACGACACCCCTCTGGAATGTCATTGGAGTTGTGAAAGGCCACATCCAAGATGAAGTGGTGATCCTGGGCAATCACCGCGATGCGTGGATTGCTGGCGGCTCGGGCGACCCCAACAGTGGATCGGCCGCGCTGAATGAGGTCATCCGCAGCTTTGGCGAGGCCCTCAAGGCGGGCTGGAAGCCGCTTCGAACCATTGTCTTTGCCAGCTGGGATGGTGAGGAGTACGGCCTGCTGGGCTCGACGGAGTGGGTGGAAGACCAGCTCCCGTGGCTCTCCAAGGCCAACATTGCCTATTTGAACGTGGATGTGGCCGCGGCCGGCACCGTGCTGGAGCCACGGGCTAGCCCGCTGATGAACCAGCTCATCTACGAGGTGACCGGCTTGGTGCAGTCTCCCAACCAGACCGTGCCGGGTCAGACCGTGCGAGATGTCTGGGATGGCCATATTGCGACGATGGGTAGCGGCAGCGACTTCACAGCCTTCCAGGACTTTGCGGGCGTTGCTAGCTACGACCTTGGCTTTGGACGGGGTCCCAAGGATGCCGTGTACCACTACCACTCGAACTACGATAGCTTCGATTGGATGGACCGGTTTGGCGATCCAAGCTGGAAATACCACGAGACATGCACCAAGATCTGGGCGCTCGCCGCGGCCAAGTTGATCGAGACCCCGATCATTGCCTTCAATGCGACCGACTACGCGCTGGGGCTGGAGCAATACCTCAGCCAGATCAAGCCGGTGGCGAAGCAGCTCCCCAAGGGCACGGCGTTTGACTTTGCGCCTCTGGACCAGGCTATTGCGCAGTTCCAGGCGGCGGCCGCGCGGTTCGAGGCCCATGCCGCGGACCTGGCCTCGCAGCTGGGCGAGGACGTGCCATGGTATCACTGGTGGAAGAAGGTGCGGCTGCTCTTCCAGATCCGCGTGGTGAACGACAAATACAAGAGCATCGAGAAGCAGTTCTTGTACCAGCCGGGTCTGGATGGCCGCAGCTGGTACAAGCACGTCGTGTTTGCCCCAGGCATCTGGACCGGCTACTCCGGGGCGACCTACCCGGGCCTGGTGGAGAGTCTGGAAGCGGGCGATCTGACAAACTCGCAGGTATGTTCTCGCTCGCTCGTTATTGGTAGATGTGTTGCTAACCTGATTTCCAGAAATGGCGCTCCATTATTCTGGAGCGCATCGAAGCGGCCACTCGGCTGCTGCAGTAGAGTATGTGTATGGAGGGGGTGGGTTCTGCAGGATTGCATGCCAGCTGACTGGGAAGTGCATTGCATGCAAGGACTAGGCCAGAGGCGATCGCGGATTGGAGATTGTTTCACCCGGTAGATTGAGACTGCCTGATTGTAGACAATTTCTGGTAAAGACGGTTGGGTCTACAATTGTTGAAAGCAAGACCAATAACTATACGGTTAAGTCGGTTATAGTTGTTGTAGAAGGGCGGGAAGCATTCTGGTTGTCTGTTCTAGTTCTCTAAGCATCGACATGTAGTTAGAATGACACAGACGGGAATGGGGATAGAGTCTCGATGCGCCTTAGAGTAGATAAGCAGCCAATAAATCCGAGCATGTAAGCTGAAAAGCCCCGAACAATGAGTCGGAGCAGAGAGAGAGTGAGTGGGTTTTGCGTGTTGATCGACTTCCGGTCACACGCCCTCCACGAGTTAGTCTCTTTCCTCTTTCCGTCTACGAATTCTCCTCTCCTCCTCTTTCTTCTTCTTCTTCTTCTTCTGCCTCTTCCAATTTTCTTTCCTCTTTCACTCTTCACCCAATCTCTACTATCCTTTTCTTCTTCTTCTTCTGCAGTTGACCCGGTCTCGCCAGGTCAGCATGTTGAAGAAAACCCCCCAGCTGCCCGTGCGGCAGCTGGTCATTCTTTGTAAGTCGAGCAATTTGTTTCGGCGGATGTTACATCCCCTTCAAAAATTTCACGGCGAAAGAACCTCTCCGACTGACCAGGCCGTTTACCACAGCAATATGTCGCTTCGCAGAGCCAGGTATGCCTATGCCTTTATACTAAGAACCGTTTGCGCGGGGTTCGTCCGTATTGTATTTTGCATTTGCCTTCCTAACGGATTTCCCCGGTCATTCGTTACCATAGTGGTCCTCACCTCCGTCCTGCCCTACCTAGTGAGTAACATCCATACTTCCCCCATATCCCCAATAGTCCACCTAAACTAACGAAACCCCATCAAAGCCCGAAATGATCGAATCCGTAGGCGTCCCCAAGCATGAGATCGCCAAATGGGTCGGCATCACCGCGGCGGTGACCTCCTTCAGCCAGGCCGCCATGGCCGTCACCTGGGGCACGCTGTCGGACACGGTCGGCCGCAAGCCCGTCATCCTGACGGGGCTAACCTGCACGATGGTCATGTCGCTGGTGTTCGGGTTCGCGCGCAACCTGACGCTGCTGGTGTTTGCGCGCGGCCTGCTGGGCCTCCTGAACGGCAACGTCGGCATCATCCGCACCATGGTCGCCGAGATGGTCCCCGAGAAGGAGCTGCAGCCGCGCGCCTTCAGCATCATGCCGCTCGTCTGGACCATCGGGAGTATCTTTGGGCCGGCGTTCGGCGGCGCGCTGGCCCGCCCCGTCGAGAAGCACCCGGAGGTGTTTGGCCGGTGGCCGTTTCTGGAACGGTATCCCTTTCTGCTGCCCAACCTGGCGGCGGCGGGGTTCTTTGTCGTGGGAATTAGCACGGGGTTTTTGTTTTTGGAGGTTAGTACCACTGAGAGGCGGAAGAGGGGGCAAGGGGGCCAAGGACAGGGCTGATGGGGTTGGGTTGAATTCTAGGAAACGCTGGCGGCAAAGAAGCATCAACGCGATTACGGGCTTGTGTTGGGTCAGGCTTTGACGCGGCCGTGTCGGAGTGCCCGATCGGAGAAGAAGTCACGGTCGACAACGACCACCACCGCCGAAACCGATGAGGAACGAACGGCGCTGTTGGGGCAGCGCCGCGCAGCCACGGGCAACAAGCCGGCCCGGAAACCCAGCTGGGCGGAGGTGTTCTCCCCGCAATCCAACCTGATTCTGCTGGCGTACTCGCTCATGTCGATGCATACCATGGCTTTTGATTCGCTGTTTCCCGTCTTCCTGCATACGCCGCCGCAGCAGCTCGAAGGCAACCCGGACGTGCGTCTGCCGTTCAAATTCATTGGCGGGTTCGGCGTGGGTGAGTTTTGCCGCCTGTGCTCACACGATTCGATGCTAACCGGACCGACCACCAGACTCCCAAACCATCGGAATTTACTACACATTGATCGGCATCATCGGCATGCTGGTGCAGTTCCTCATCTTCCCCGCGGCCGCCAAGCAGTACGGCGTGCTCAACTGCCTCAAGGTGGTCTCGATCATCTTCCCCGTGCTCTACCTGCTGACGCCCTTCACGGCGCTGGTGCCGGGCTCGCTGCGCCACGTGTTCGTGTTTCTGCTGATGCTGGGCAAGCTCTCCGCCTCGATCTTCGGGTTTCCCTGCACGACGATCCTCCTCACCAACTCGGCGGCCAGCCTGAGTGTCCTGGGGACCTTGAACGGGGTGGGGACGAGCGTCAGTGCCATCGGGCGCGCGGTGGGCCCGGCGCTGACGGGGTCGGCGTTTTCCTTCGGCGTGAAACGGGGGTTCATCATCATTCCGTGGTGGCTTCTGGCGGTGTTTGCGGCCGTCAGTGCCGTTCCGGTGTTTTGGACGGAGGAGTCGGATGGGTTCCATGGGAAGGAGGAGGTGGAGGATGAGGTGGAGGATGAGGTGGAAGCTGTTGAGGAAAGCCAGACTGGGGGATATGGAGCCGTTGAGCGTTCCACCCGACGGGGTTGAATAAGTGAGTAGAATTGAGCTGGTGGGGATGAAAAAGGGAAAAGAGACAGGGAAACGTTTCAACGATGCAATGAGTTTGTATATGCTGGCTACACGTGCTATGTGACATATGAAATATGAGTGAGATAGAAGAACCGAAGACCAGCTATATTGTTGAGTGGTTGGTCACTACATGTACAGTACATGAGTACGGAGAAGATCCGATGATGTATACGGAGTAGAGTAAGTATAGAGGCGGATCCAGACTCGCCGATCCGCCGGGCCCGGAAGGCCGAGAAGGGAAGGGAAGGTATTACTAATGACTGCCTGTTCAACCCCGGATATCAGACCATTCCGCGGGAGTAAACAGTTAGCATATAAGTTAAGTTAACCACCGACATATCTGAACACCACACCTTACTCTTGTGGATACAGTACTTCAACCTCGTCATAATCACAACAACACCACAACATCCTCACCATGGTACGTCCAAACCATCCTCATTCCCCTCCTTTCACCCACAACCCATCCCATACCCCAATTCAACCCACCCACCCACCCACCCAGCTAGCTATTTATCCAGCTATCCAGCTCCTATCCCCTCTTCCCAAAAAGAATCACCCCCCACCCCCGTCCCCCGTCCCCTTGTATCCCACCCACTAACCAATCATAAACACAGTCCACAACAGCCCTAACCCTCGCCCTCCTCACCTCCGCCGGCGGCACGATCGGCTACCTGCGCACGGGCTCGGTGCCCTCGATCGCGGCGGGCCTGACCGTCGGGTTTCTGTATCTGGTGAGCGGGCTGCGGCTGCGCGCGGCGCAGCCCTACGGCGCGGAGCTGGCGCTGCTGGCCTCGGTGATCCTGTCGGGCAGCTCGATCCCGCGCGCGATCCGCACCGGCGGGAAGCCCGTGCCCACGGTGTTGAGTCTCGTGGCCGTTTATGGGTTGTGGGTGTTTGGGGGGTTGGTCTTTGGCGGGAAATAGATTCTTCTTGGGGATTTGCCCGGGGGGTTTGGTTTTAAACCGATGAGAGAGAAGCAATGTCAGTCGGTTTGTTGATTGGTTTTTTTTTATCTTATCTTGATTCGGGATGGGGACCCCCGGGGGGGGGGCTGGTGCTTGTTTGTAAGCTGGCTGGGGATGGGCTCTTCATGAATGCATTACTGGTTGGTACTCACTCGGTTATGGCTCATCTTTGGGGCGAGGTGTACGGTTGAGTATAAGTACAAATCAATAGTAGGTTGGTGATTGGTTCATCTACAGGTTACATTGAAAATAAGATATAGTAACGAGTACGACTACTGATAAATGTCTGATCTCATATTCAATATTTTAAGTGGCCTACCTTCTAGACGCAACTTACATAGTCATACCATACTAAACGTCCAATCAATCTGGTCCCCCACCCCGCAATCACTCGACTCAAATCCCTGGAATTGTCGATTCGTTCGTTCGGTCGTTCTCACAGAAAAGTAACAAAGCAAAAGGTTCTGCACTCACCAACTACTCTTTTCTTGTTGCATGCACAGTCGGTGCTCACTTTTCCGAAGGAGAAAATGACGGCCAACCCAGACAAAGGCCACGGCCTACCCACTGCCACCGAGTCAAGTAGTAGCAAACAACAAGACATTGACAGTTTGGTGTGTATGTGTGTGATGTGATGTGATGTGAACAGAAACTTAGCTGATGTGTATTTTCTGAATTTCTTTTTTGGGACTTTTCTTTTTTTGCTTGCTTTCCTTCGGCGTTTGTATGTGTTTTGTGTCTGCGGGTACGAATGTGCTTGCACTAATCCGTCGCATCCACCACCGTGTCCGACTCCCGGATCGCCCCCACCACCACGGCGGATGGAAGCTCTTCAAGTACCGTCTCCCCTCGCTGGTCAGGAACATATGCGTACCTTGACAACCTAGCCATCTTCTCCTCCGGGCTGGTCTCGTTATCCGAATACACCAATCGCGCCTTGGACTTGTCCTTCTTGGGCTTTTGGTCCTCGCCCTCGGCCGGTTTGCCGGCAGTCGTGGTCGTGGTCGTCGGTGGTGTCGCCGTCGCCGCTTCGGCCTGCTTCGCCGCCCCGGAGATCAAATCGTCCACGGAACCGGAGAACCCCGTGCTTTCCGCCGCCGCTCCGGAAGCCTTGTCGGCGCCGTTCATGCCGGTGGTCGGGGGAACCGTGTGGCCCATGTGCATCTGTTGCATTTGGTAGGCGTTAACCTGCGGGGCCCCCACGGCCGGCCGCTGAGGGAGACCAGGCGCAGCGGGCAGCCCGACAGGACGGGGTGGGAAGGCGCCCCCGAGCTGCGGGGGAGTGTGTGTCTGGGGAGGGGACTGTTGCGTCGGGTATGTCGGCGGTGTGGCACCGTACGGCGGTTGGCCGGAAACCCCAGTCGAAAACGGCTGCGGGGAGAAGGTCGTGGGAGGAGCAGCATACTGCGCATTCGCCTGACCACCGGGCGAGAAGGTCGGATACACGGGGCTGGCCGTTTGTTGAGGGGGTTGCTGGAAGGGAGAAGCGGCGGCTGCGGCGGCGCCGTAGGGCTGAGGATAGGAGAATTGAGAGGGAGTGGTCGCTGGCGGCGGTGCCGTGGACGTTGCGGCCTGTCCGAAAAAGATATGACATCAGTAAACAAAGTCGAATCTGATCCAAACAACAAAACACTTACGTATCCACCTATCGTTGGTGTTTGACCGGCTCCCACAGGCGTGGCCTCGCCACTGCTGCCGCCCGCCCGCGCTTCCGCCATCTTCGCCTTGTGTTCCGCCAGGCGTTTCTTGAGGTCCGAAACGCTCTCCAGCTTGGGCTTCTTCGCCGGCTGTCCGCCCGTCGCTGACGTCCCGGGAGGCGGATTGCCCGTCACGGCCTGCCGCTCGGCCTCTGCCTGCTGGAACTGTGTCGCCACCCGCTGGTTGTGCGCCTGGATGATATCCTCGGGGACACCCTCCATCCCGAAGATCTCGACGTCGAGACTGGATCGGTTCGGGAGAGCATTGTCGACCGCCGTAAGCTGCTCCTTATGTACCTGACTCATGTGCACGGACAAGCCTAAAGCCGAGAACATCGGTTAAACGATGACTTCATCGGCTTGATATGAATCGCACACTGATGATGAACTCACCTCCGGCAGTGTTTAGTCGGCGCCCACATCGCTCGCACTTGAAGTGCTTGGCTTTCTGGTGTGAGATAAGGATCTTGAGGTCATCGAAGTCGCGCTCGCAGTAGTAGCACCAAGGACGACCCAGCACTTCTTCTAACGTGGGTCCGCGTCTCTTTTTGCCCATTGTGTGACTGTGAAGCTGTTCGCTTCGTGTGAAAGTTGAGAAAGAGAGAGAGGTTGGTGGAGTAGACTGGAATGCAGAGATTCTGGTCGCGAGTGAGTCGCCGCTGATGAGATTGAGGTTGGTTGAGTGAGCGTTGTCACGTGCAGCAAATGCGCTGACAGTCACATGATACGACATCATAGCTTTAGTCCTTTGGGAAGTGATAATCAGATTGACTATTGCTGATTAGTGAATCAAGTATCATCAACTAGATAATTGTACCTGATTAATTATATCTTGCTTCATACATGACTCCATTCATACTCTAGGCACCTGAAAAGCAAACGATCTCCATACGGAGTCCGCTTCATCAAGGTCTGTCTCAGATCATCGAGATTTTGCATGTGAGAACCACAATGTTACGCAAGTCACACTCCATTACACAGCAACAGCACAAACGATTAAGCAATGGTTGTTTGAATCAAGTCAGTGTTGCTCGACGATCAATATATTACATCTAATAGCTTTTCATGCTTCAAGCCAACAATCCTCCATCCAACGATGTACAGTACATACCCACGAAACCTCGAAATCTTAAATCGATACACCACAACAGGCCGGTTGAACCAACCCAGAATCCCACAATGATACAGTAGAATCAAGCCCCGGCGCCAATCGCTAGCAAGACACAAATAGAAGGGACAAAACAGACAAGCACTAAGACGCGAGTCTCCTGGCTGCCTCACAAGGATGGTAGTACATATGCACAAGAATCACTGTAGTGTACAGGGTGCATTCCAACTTTTTCCTAGGGACTGCGCAATGCATTTCTTAATGATAAGGTCAACCAAACTCTAGGCAGGACGTGGGTGGCCTGGTGGTGGTGGTAGCGTGGGTGCGTAAGGACTGTAATACTCCGGATAAGGTGTGCGGTAAGGCTGAGGTGCCGGCTGTTGGAATAGAGTGTGAGGTCCAGGGAAGGGGACTCCCCGGGTGTCAATGGGTGGGTAAGGATTCAGAGGAGGTCGCGGTGCAGGCAACGGCGCCAACTGAGGATGGGCCGGGTGACTGGGAGCTAAGGTAGGAGGAGGAGGTGCGGCAGGCTGAATGGGAGCTGGAGCCGGGGCAATCCCCTGCTCGATCCTCGGGCCTCCATAGCCTGGACTGTCCATTTTCTTCTTTCGTGGACCGATTTTGGGCGGTTCGGTGGCCTTGCGGGCAGCTTCGGCCGCGCGATCCGCCTCAATCTGGGCTTTGGAGCGTTTGGGATTGCGAACCCGACCCTCTTTATTGAAGCGGGCCCAATGGTTGAGCATAGCTTCTGTCCGCTTTGGATTCTTTGAGTTGGCGATTTTCTGTCGTCGAGCAAGCTCCGCAGGGTCGATCGAGTCTTCCGGAGTGCTCCCAACTGGTGTGCCCGCCGGAGGTGCAGCTACTTGGTTACTGCTCGGTGCTGGCTCAATAGGCGGCAATTGAACTGTGCCAGGTCGGGTCTGCATTACTCCAGTGGTTGGCTTCTCGATGCGAATCGTCGTCGAGCGAGGAGGGGCCACTGGCGCTGGCGCTTGAGACGGATCAGACGGGCCATTGATCGTGATGGTACGAATGCCACCTCGCCCGCGCCCACGGCCGCTACCACGGCCGCGCGTGGCGAACCGGATGGGCGGAGCGGAAGCGGAATCGGATTGATCATCGAAGTCCGTGCCTTGGCGACGGGTGCGTGTGCGCCGTTGACGTATGTTCTCCTCTGGTTCCACCGGAGCGGGTGAGTCTGTAGCGGCCTCGTCGGAGACCGACGACGCCTTTTCTCTGTTGGCTGCCTCCAATTCCGCGGCCTTTCGCTTGCGGGTAGCCTTGCCGACAAAGTCCTCCCGAGGCGGGTTTTGAAATTTAGGGACGTGCTCGACGCCGAATTTCATAATAGTAGGCCAGCCATCTGGGTTGGGATGATTAGGGCCGAGCTTGGCGGTCATCTTGCGATACTGAGCCGGAGTAGGTTTGAAGCCGCCCTGGGTGAACGGATTCTGGCAGCCAACCTTATCTTCCTTCGGCTCATGCTTGTATCCGTAGAGCATAGACTCCTTCTTATCCTCAAAGACTTGCGGCCTCAGTAACTTCCTGGGATCGCTAATCGGTTTAGCGTTGTGTCGGGTGGCGTGCTTGTTCAACTTTTCGATGGCCAGGTACTCATCTTGCCATACCTTGAGAGCGAAAGCGACGTTCTCAGTGATAGCATAGAGTTCCTCGTATGAACGATGCTCAGGGTCTCGAAGCTGACTCAAAAATTCCTCGAGAGGCGTGATTTCAAGAAATTCTCCTGGAGAGACCTTCGATTTCTTGTAAGGTTCTGGTCGGTCTTGCAGCTCATCGGGTGCTTCGCGCTTTCGTGGGCGCTTCGACTCCTTGACCAATGTAGTCCAGGAGTGTTCTAGATCGGCAGTCTTTTCATCATGGTCACTGCAGAATTGGTGGACATCGTGAATATTCCAGAGGTGATGGAGGCGTTGATCCAATGTCACGGGATCTTGAGCGCGCGAAAACTCATGCAACTGGCTCGACAGAGCATCGGGCTCGGGAACATCTGGCTCTTCCCCATCCGCATCTTCTGGAAGCTTGTAGGTTTCATCGTCGACTTCAGTCGTATCGGCCACACCATTTTCTAAAGTCTCGTTCACGTGGTTGTCCTCATCATCTTCAACTTCGTGAAGGTCACTGGCATCCATGTCTGCAATCTCGTCGACGCTTTCATCTTCCATTTGCTCCTCCTCCTCCTCCTCCTCGTCGTCAAGCTGAGACTGGTCATCGCCGCCTTCCGCAACAAAACGCGTCTTGGGTGCAGTAATGTGCGGATGCGCAGTGGCAATATGGCCTTTCATAACATTATTCTGAGAACCAGAGCCTTTACTATACTCGAGGAGCTTTCCGCACAAAGTGCATTTGGTCCATTGAGTTACTGGGGAGGGGGATGGAGAGGCCTGGGTTGAGGTAGAACGAGCATTGAGTGGCTCGGAGAATTGTCGGCGCAGAGGGGAGTCCTGGCTGGCCATGTCCGAAGTATGGCTGTCCATTTCAAAGTCGCTTTGAGCGACAGAATCCATGGCAACACCAGCAGAGACGATCAAGAAGAGGACTCGGGAAGAAATTCAATAGAGAAACAAATTTTCTCGACGAAGGGGACACGCGAATCGCCCTTCTCGATGCCCAAGACTGGGGATCTGGAGTCGCGTTAGTGAAAGGAACTTGGGGGTTGAAAAAGTTCGCTTGTAGTGCCAAGCCGCCAGAAGTAACTGCAGCGCAAGCTTCTACACCAGATGTCCCGAGGGGGAAGGGTGAGAAAGGCGAGGCCCCAAAACACAATCACTGGTTAGGGGGCAGTAGCACTGGCATAAGCATTGGGCAGCCTCCTCGCGATCCATAACGGATCCAGCGTTGACAGAAACGTGGCAGGCAGGCTGGTGTAGGCACAAGGAGGCAAAAGTATGGCTCAAGCAGGTGATATGTAACATACCTTGTGAAAGCTGAAACAGAGCCAGTCTGTGTTGCAGAGCAGGAGATTGATGGTGAGAATGGAGAGCAGAAGAGATTCTCGCTAATGGACTCGAGGTATGGCTGGGCAGAACAACGAGGTGTTGTCTACAGGTAAGAGTAGAATGTGGGTGGTCGCGAAGGGTGGACAGGGATAGTAGAAACTTGTACTTCTGGAAATGGAAAAGTAGAAGTCGAGCGGGTAAGCAGGGAAAAGAAGAAAAAAAGAAACGATGGCCTCAATCCCGGGCCAAACAGAGGTCACAGTGAGTAAATAAAGTCCAAAGACAGAGGTAGGGGTACGTGTGGAGGAGAATTGATACGAATAGTAGATAGCAAAGCAGAGCTTGATGAGGGTGACGCGAGTGGAGAGAAACTAGTCAGGTGTGTGGACACTGGTGGTAACAGTGGGAAGTATGAAGTCTGCCGGAGTGGAAGTAGGCAGGTGGGCGAAAGGAAGAAGGGAGAAGAGGGTGAAAAAGAAAGGGAGTCGACGGTAAAATTAGGTGGGTAGAAGCAATAGCAGTAGATAGCAGTGGGAGAAAAATTCAATACATGATCCGAGGTTCAAAGCAAACAGGAGGAGAAGTAAGTAAGTAAGAGAAGATTGTGGGATGTTGTAGTAGTCGAAGATGAATACTTTGGGGGGAAAGGAAAAGAAAAAGCGACTAGAGTTTGTAGGTACTAGGTAGACTACTACAGCCAGCAAGTCAAGTCGCCTTCACTCACTGGAACTAACTACCTAGTACTCTCTCCGTACTGTAGTAGAAACACACACCTGGGCTGCGAGGTAAGTAGTAAGTAATAGTAAGGTAAGTCTAACTAACCAAACTAAACTATTGTAGGTAAAGTGAGTCTGAAGGTAAACTAACTTCGTGCTTCGTACCTCACCGTGACCGTACCTTACGCCAATTACCCAATTACCCTTTTTTTCTACCACTCTGGAACCACGCCGGCAGCGAATCTCTGACTCTGGAGGTTCCGGAAAAAACCCATCTTCCGGTCCGATTCCTCATGCAGCCACTTCAATAGCCCTGGGAGCCAATGGCAGTCATTGTAGTTGTCTTCTCCCTGGTGGTTACCTGACGGTACTAGGTAACTGGTATTTCCCTCAATAAAACCAATTTGCCCATGGCAAGACTACCGCGTTGGTCGTTGACTATCTGTTTCATCCCCCCATCTTTCATCTTGTTTTTCTAGTCCAGTGGGGTTGTAGACTGATATGCTGCAGTAGAAGAGTGCACCAGCTTACAATTGAATTGCAATACGTCTCATAGGAACTGTACGGTACATTTTGAACTGTCTACCCGACAAGTAGCTCAGCGTCTTCCGCGCTATCATCAGAATCGATGCTTGGTAAGTATCGTCACCCGATGTACGTGACATCATCTTAGGTAGTCAGTCAATAGCAAGTGGGAGATTAGAACCCAGATCCAAGTAGTCGTGGAAGCTGGATTAGTCTACTATGAGGGGAACCAGTCTCAACACCCTTGTCGGCAATGGCCTGATTGACTGCGGAAATCCTGATGGTTTGGATCCGACTACCCCCTTGGCCTGTGGAATGTCCCGGAATGAATCCATGGTGAGCGCACTTTATACTACCTCCGATGAAAAGATGAAAAGAAGGGCGGGGAAAATTCGGACATGTTATGGAGGTGTTATTATTATGCCTATACCTATGCTTTGTTGATGACACCTTTTGGCTCTGTGGGCCCGTTTTCCTCGCGATCGTTCTTCGCTAATCGACTATATTCACGTTGTGTGTTATCAAACATACTATACTCCGCAAAGCAACAACACCGAACAAAGCTAACAAACAATACATGTTCAATTCCCCCTCCCCCCTCCCCTGGCATAATGTCTGAAGATCCAGCTGCCGAAAACCGAAATTCTATAAAGATACGATCCAATCAAACATGCCAGCATTTAGCATGGTTCCTCTCTCCCACGTCCAATGCAACTAAAAAGCGACTAACACCGTTGTAGGCCGCTACCGTCGCCGTAATTTCCACCACCTGCTTATCATCGAAACACTCCTTAACCTCCTGGAAGATCTGGTCCGGCACCTTGACCGTCTTGGTCATAGCGTCCGTATACTTCAGTACCACGCTTTCCTCCCGACTGAGCACCCTTTTCTGCGCCTCTGGACAGATGTCTGGTTGCCGAATGAGTTCTAGCGCTTCGTCACTGAATCCTCCTGCCTTCAGCAACGGGGCGTGCTGCTCCCATTCGAACAATGCATCATTGAGGACAGCCACGCGACACATGATCAGCTCCCGGATGATAGTCGAGAGACTCGTTCTCGTGCGAAGGGCGCCCATCAATGAATTCCAGCCATCCGTGACTGGAAACGAGTGCAGCAGTGCCAAGTCTAAAGGTAGCAGAGTTCCAGGGGCGCGTCGGGCTTGCGTTTGTGCGAGGATCTCAGCTTCCTCGGGATCGCTCGTCTGCGGAGGGTTCGCAACGTATGGAAGGCGCATGATGGATGCTCGGGCTATTATGGGGTCGACCTTCGAGGTATGTCCTCTGCACATTGTCAGCTTCTTGATTGCCACCATCTACCTAGTGTAGGGACCTGTTACCTGTAATTGATAGCGGGAAACTTGCGGCTAAACTGGCGATCACTTTCCGGGTGGCAAGGTCTAATTTGCGTGGTACAATGAATGCGCAAACCGATGGACACAAGAGAAGGTGGGAATCAATTTATCTTATACCATGCGTCCCTCTTTATCTGTAATCTATCTCTGTCCGCCGGCGGGTGGCCAGAAGGGTCCGCTAGGCGCCTAGGGAGCGAATAGTGCGCATTTTGCACTCGATCATGATCGACGGCATTGTACTACTCTTGTGTCCCGGTAAAGGGGCTGCTAATCTTGGTAATAGATCGAACATGATCTGAAAACTCAAATCGATTGAAGCATTGGTGAAAGCGACTTGGGCTGGAGGAAATTCTCGGGCTACAGTCACCCTACTTTCATCAATGCGGATGTCATTAAGATGGCTCTCAGCCATAGCAAGCTTTCCAGCAGTAGCATGTGAGGGTTTGTATATGGCTTGGTGGCTTGCGATGAGCATTTCTGGAAAGAAAAAAAATACTTGATTCCTTGTTGTCAAGAGACACAGATCAGATCCGGTGGACCATGAATTGTGAAGCTGACGAATCAACCTCGGGCACACTTCACTCATCTGTAAGGAGGTTTGTGGTCAGAGTATGATCTGACCGTGCCGGCGGGATTCCAGTCCACTCATCTATCGTGTGATATCATATGTCAAGATCAAAGGATCTTGGGAGAAATCTTTGACCTCGTCATCCCGCCTAACGAGGAAAAGGAAACTGGGCCAGGCAGCCTGTAAGTCACGGCTCTATACTCATCACCATGAACTCTCCGTGAGTGATGTACATTGCAATTGTGTCCCGACATATGTTGCAGAGATAGGGGATTGGACTAGCAGTCTGGTAATAAGTATATCTTAGTGGGATCGATCGATCTACAGGCGGTGTGAAGAGTGGATTGCGATCATGGCTAAGAAGACTGAGGACTTTTTCCGAATAAATTTCGATGCGACAAGAGGCCAACTTGAGCATTGACTCATTATTGACATTACTCCGAGACCGAAGGTCTATAAAAAGATTATCAGAAGGATTTTCGTGCTCATATTGACCTCCACTTGCATAGAATAGTCTCCACTGGGATTGTTTGGCAAAATAAACAAACAAACATAACATGATAAGGTGATGAAAAGTGGGCGCTCGTCTGAAGCAAAGCTCAATACTCAACGCTCCCATAGTAATGAGATATAATGAGGCATGATGATGCGCAGTAACCGGTCTCTGCTACATGTATACCTGGATTTATAGTTCCACTCCGTACTCCGTACTATTCCATACAAGCCTTTGTTGTCAAAGGCGGAAGGCGGCCACGCAGTTGAGCCTCTTGGCACAGGTCATCCCGTCTCCACCGCCCAAAACAACCAAGAGAGCTTCACTTCACCAACATTGATTGTTCTCCTTCTTTATCCCCCCCCCCTTATCGCACACACAGATATATCAGAAGTGATTTCTAAAGTGCACCCGCATACAACGTCATCATGCGTCCCAAGTCCTCGAAACCCACAAATGATGAGCTTCTAGCTCAATTTGACGATTTGACCGTGGAGTCGGCCGTCGACCAAGAACCGTCCAAGACTACCTCCAAACCCCCCGCTGCTGCAACGACGCAGTCGGAACAAGACATCTTCGCTGAGCTGGACAGCCTGACTGCTCAGCGCCCTAGCAGTGGTCCGGGTACCCCACGTGTATCGACCAACGAACCTCGTCCAGTTATCAAGTCACCCAAGCCCGCTCCAGTGGCTGCGACACCCGCGGCCGGTCGGACCAGCGAGGAGAAACCCGTCCCGCGGAGATCGGGTGAAAGTGTGCGAGCCTCGGTCCCGGAAATCAAGAGTACCAATGTCAAGCTTGAGTCAGAGAAAGCCGCCGCAACAGAGGCAGCTACATCTAGTGGCGGCGGTGGCGGTGGATGGTGGGGCGGCATTTTCGCGACTGCGTCGGCCGCCATGAAGCAGGCTGAGGCCGCTGTGAAGGAGATCCAGCAGAACGAGGAAGCACAGAAATGGGCCCAGCAGGTTAAGGGAAATGTCGGCGCATTGAGAGACTTAGGTATGGTCCTCTAGAAGACTGTTCCAGATTGGACATGTATTGACTTCGGTTCCTAGGCGGCGAGCTTCGCAACATGGCTATCCCGACTTTCACATCCCTAATCCACACCATCGCTCCTCCGATCTCCTCCCATGAACGTCTCCAGATCCATATCACTCATGACCTTTCCGGATACCCCAGCATCGACCCCCTGGTCTACGCAGTCTTTTCCCGCGTAATGGCCCAGGTCGAGGGCGGCGATCTCCTCGTCATCCAGCGAGGCCAGGAGTCAGCGCCCAGGCGCGGACTCGATATCGGCGGTCTTCAATTCTCGGGACCAGGATGGCACGATGGGCCCTGGTGGCGGACGGTCACTCCGGGTCACCCCCGTACGCTTGCGGCCATCCGCGGCTCCGTGGAAGCCACCAAGCTCGCCCGCGCAAGCGCCGAAGCTTATGCCACGGAGCTCTTTTCCGCCCGGGGTGGAGTGGAGGAGGCCGCGAAACAAGCCACTCAAGATCTCAGCGAAAGCAACCCCGTCCGCAGTAGCGATATCTTCCTAGCCATCCAAGCCATCAGCCAACCCACAGCGGCGGATCTCTTCCAGGCGGGCCCCACGACCGAAAAAGCCACCCCGCCAGGAGTCGTGGACGCCCCAGCCGAGACAGAGGACGAGGTGGTCTTTGCGCTGTATCTCCACGACCCCATCCACGGCATCGCCTTTCACACACTCTCTCAGGCTGTTCCTCAGAAATGGATCGACTGGCTCGAGGCGACGGCGGCTCCCGCTGAAGACGCCGATAGCGAAGACGCTAACCTGCCTCAGACCGTCGTGCCTGAGGAGATCGCGGAGATCATCGAGGGCGGCGGCGTGGATCCCCGTGAATGGGCCGCCGAGTGGATCGAAGAGTCCCTTTCCCTGGCCGTCGGGGTTGTCGCGCAACGCTACGTCGCCCGACGCATGGGTGTCGGCGAGAGGGCTGCGGCTAAGGGCAAAATGCGTGCTGAGCAGGCCTCGGTTGTCGACAGCGGTGCAGGTGAGGTGGCGCGGGCGCTGTAGGTACCAGGGTAATGTCCGCCACGGTTCTTGGTTTCTTCTATTTTGTTCTTTCTGTTCCAGTTTCCTGAGCTCCTCATGATCTATATGATACTCCCGCAAATGATACTCCTGCCGACTGTTTGGGTTTTATTGTTCGTTCCTTGTCATAAGCCCCAGATGATATTACCATCCATCTTACTGTTGCGCGGTAGCCGGCGTACGTTATTCATCCCTTTATCTAATTAGCGCAATATTCGCATACTGAAGCAGAAATCCATCCAACCAAGAAGGTCTGCATAATTCATATCACGATTGATATTCAGACAGAAATCTCTTCTTCCTTCCCGAGTCTATCTGTTCAAACAGATAATCAGAGCCATCAAATGTATTCAAGAAATTCCTTTCCAAGATCGAGTCGAGCATGACGCGGCGTAGAACTAGACGTAAAAAAAAGCCAAAGAACCGTTGCGGGTATCTAATTGTTGCAAAAGCAAAGCGGACGTGATAATAATCCGATCCCGTCCATGCATGAAAGGTTGTCGTTTTGTTGTTGTTCCATCACTCCTTTCCCCTTCCCACCCGATCCAATTATGCATATCGATCGAATCAATCCAACTCTAACGTTCCCTCCAATCCAGGAACATGCCAGAAGTTCGCGCGAAGGGCGGTGACACTATGCGACAAGGAAAAGAAGACTTTAGTTAGCCCAGTGGTCAAGGATCAATGGTAGGAGTCGCAGCGCTCGCGCTCGCCACTCGCGTCCCCCCCCCCCCGGCACGACGGAGATCAAGCTTGCTTACCTGGTACACCCATTCAGCACGGTATGCGCATCCGTCCCCTCCTCACTGGCCTGCAGCGCCTTCTTCATATCCAACAGCTGCGCGCCCCATTTGAAATCCCTTTGCTTGAGAGTCGTCGCGGGGTTGTGGTCATGCTGCTGCGCCGAAGCGACTCCGTTGACTTGTTGTTGTTGTGAAGTGTTGTCCGCCTCAGCGTAGAGGTACCCCTTGGCCCAGTAGTAGGGGAGCGTGCGCGTCCACAGCACGGGCCGGGCCTCGACGTCCTCGCGCATGGGGACGTTGATGTTGTAGAGTTCGACGCGCTCGTCCCAGTGCGCGAGCAGGTGGTTGACGACGCGCACGGCCAGGCGGGCGGCGGCGGCGATGATCGCGGCCGGTTGCTCCTCCTTGCTGCCGAAGGAGATGGCGATGCCGCGCTTGCCGCAGGTGGCGGCCTCGAGGGCGCCGCCCACGGTGCCGGACGAGAGGTTGTAGATCGTCGAGGCGTTGCGGCCGTGGTTCGGGCCGGAGATGACCAGGTCAATCGGGGGCCGGTCGGGGAAGAGGTTGAAGAGGCCGAGTTGCACGCAGCTGGCGGGCGTGCCGTTGGTGATTACGACCCATTCGTCATTGGGGTTGCCGTTGCTGGTGGTGGTGGTGGTGGTGGTGGTGGTGGTGGTGGTTGTGCCATTGGAGGAGGAGTCGTTGGCATTGGCCGCGGTGTGAGTGTAGGTCTCGTTCCAGGTGCCGTCGTTGTGGAAGGCTTGCGGTGGGACGTAGGTGGCTTTCAGCGAGGCTTCGATCAGATGTGCCTTGCCGATCCAGGAGCGGGAAGCGGCTGGGATGGCGACGGAGACGAGGTGGCCCGCTGCTTGGAGGGCGGAGACAAGCGGTTGGATGTATGGAGACAGGCGGCGCGAAGGAGGTCCGTCGTCGTTCACTACCTGTGGGAGCGGGAAGGCAGATGGGTTTTAGTATGGGTCCTTTTTCATTCAGGTGGGTAGTCGTGGTGGTGCTAGCACTTGACGGGTTGATATCGGAAGCGCAGTAAGGGAAGTAATTCATGGTTCAATTGATCAATTGATCGAACAGAGGGAGAGAAGCATGAAGCATGAAGCATGAAGCATGAAGCATGAAGCATGAAGCATACCAGGATATGCATGTTGAGCGAGTTGATTGGTACAGCCTTGTACCTGGATGGTATGGTACTATGGTTGTATAGTAAGTAGTATAGTATAGGTAGGCAGGCAGCTCTTGAGTCGCGACAAGTTCAGGCTAGACTCGGCTTGCTCGCTTTGGGTCGGGGGAAGTCGATGAAAAGGGTTTAGTGCGGACAATAGGCGGAGTTTCGACTCATACGTAACGAATTTCTCGAATGCCTCCCAAACTCCGATTCGGTATTCGACCTCCTACTGGGCTGGATTCTTCCCCAGACCAAAGAAACAACGAAGAAAGGCATCCTGCTTTTATAGGGTCGATCTGAGACTGGGCAACATCCAGCCCCGGGGAGCCCAATCCCGTTCTTTTACCCTTCCAGACCCCATTTTACCCCGACCGGCGAAGAGAAACCGGGGAGAATTGCAACCGCATCTCGAATCTGGTCACGGTGAAGCTCTTGATGCTGCGGGGGGGGCCGATGGAATGGGCAGGTTTCGGGAGACTTGGTATTGTCGGTGTGACGAGCTCAGAACAGTCGAACTTGCGGTGGTGGGGGCTGTGTCCAGCAGGAAAATAGGAAAATTACCATCGGAAACCGAACATTACCAACGGGAAGCCGAGGGTCCCGCCAAAAAGAGTCTGCGGTGAAGCTGGCAACACCGTTTGGAGTCGGCTTCGTGGGGAAACACATTCCGATCAGCCACGAATCGTTCGATTTCTAATGGTAAGAGGAAGGGATTTCTGGCAGAGAAACGCGGCAGTCACTTTGTGCGACCGGCTGAGTGAGTTCACACCGGCTCAATTGCACCCCAGTCTACGGTGTATATACCCGGGTGCAGTCCCGGTGGCAGAATGAATAACCACTGGATGGTCTTATAAGTAGACGCTGGAGTTCGCTAGAGCTGGGGTTGTAAAGTACTATGCCCATACTCTTTGACAAGTTCGGCTCAACTCGCTATACCGCTCGGACAGCAGAATGGGAACCTGACAGAAGAAATTGAAGGAGCCCGGCAGCAGTTCAACTCAGTTGGAAGGGTGCAAAGGGAAACAGCTTCGACTCGGACATTATAGATGAGGTGCCTGCCTAGGGCATGACCAGACCAGGCCAACAGCATTTATGTTCATGTTATCACCAACCTCCGGAGCAGCTGGATATCTACAGATACATACCAGCCGTCAACCTTGTATAGGATCTCGCCTATGCATCAAACACATGCACAGAACTATTGTCTTGTGCTGGGTAGCTGTGTGTGGTCTCAATTACTAAGATCTAGGTCCATTGTGCCGTCATCCACGGATCGGCCGGTCTCTTATCAAGAAAATTTTCTTCTTGTTGACGGTCAATGGTAGACCCTGATGGGGCCACGATGAATTTGGCAAGGACTGTTGGCGTTGCACAACAGGAGGGGCTTCTAGAATCGCTTCCAAGCGGTCCTTGATTTCTGATTGCCCGGTCTTTATGGTATTCTTAATAGAAACGCCGTCCTTCCGTTCCTTGCGGCGGGGCTACGATGGAGCCCAGCAAGCCTCAGAGTACGTAGTGCTCAGTAAGTTACCACCACGGCACTACCTTTTCATTCTTTGAATCCTTAAGTCTTGAGAAGTTTAGGTAGAACCTTCAGGCGACTAGCCTCATCACGCCGCACGGAGAACATCAGCCCGTGCCGAACTTCCCAAGGTCCCATCCATACGCAGAATACTGGATACTTGATGGAATATTTCCACTCATTCTCTCGCGTAATCTCCATCTGTCATGTCAGGCTCGGAGTTCTCGGAGACACTATCAGATCGTATATCACATCACGCCAGGGTGAATTAGTGGTCGGTGGTCAGAAGGTGAGATGCATGAGTCTCCATCCTCATTCCTCAAGGTTACAGCAGGGCGGGAACTGTACAATAATAGCCGACAGTCGAACAAAGAGTGGTTTCAGACACGGTTCAGATAATTTGGATGATCCACGGCAGCAGCAAAAACCCCTCTCCCGCCAAGAAGCCATCCATGCACGCACGCACGCACGCACACACAACACATTGTCAATGTGTATGAGACTATCCGTAAGTCTTTGTAGATAAAAAACCAGATATCAACAACATACTCGTGAACTGTGCATGCATGCAGGCATGCATGCATCTCGACCTTTTAGATCACTTCTGGATCACTATCACAAACTACCGGTCAACTAGGATCAGTCAGACCCAGAAATAGTTGATCTGCCAAGATTCATAGTCGAGCACCAGGCAGGAAACCTGCAAGCTGACTGGTCTGTGCGAGAGGAATTGTTGCGACAAGACATCGACGTATGTGTGTACTACTGTGACTACTTGTGTGTAGTGAGGCCGATCGCCGCAGCAAAATCTTTGGTGGGGACATTTCAGTATTTCCGTATTATTATTCAACTCAGCTCACTCACTCCGACCCAAACCAAACCAAATCATCTAACCAAACCCAGACAGAGTCAGCCACGATCGTTTGGTTTGATTTTCCTGCTTGCGCCATCAGACCATCATCATCTTCTTCTCCTTTCTCCGTCTCCTCTCCCTCCTCTTTCTCTCATCATCATTATCACCTTCAACTTCCATCCCATTTCCCCTCCATCGTCCGTCCTCCGCTATCGCAAACCCAAGCCCACCCGCCTCGCCGAGTGTGCTTTTTCCCGCGCGACCCTCCGCCGGTTCCCAACAATCTGGGAACGCGCCAGAGTTCTGGCCAGCTCGTCGAGGTCTTATTAAATCATCCCTCGCAGACCCTGTATGGACTGCGGGAGTACTGGCACCGCTGCGGGCATCGACCCCAAAATCCTCGATAACTGGCAAACTGACAACTTTCCTATTTCTGCGTACGAGCATCCGGGCTACGAACAACAACCGTTGGAGTGGGATACGAGCCAGGATTCCAGTCAGGGCGATGCCGATATCGTCGAGATAAATGGCCCTCATGGCTCTCTCGCGCGGGACCCTTCAACGGTCTCAATGGTCGGACAGCCGGACGACTATCAGGGCAGTGATTACAGGTGCGGTTATCTCAGCTGTTTCCCCTCTTCTGAACCCCTCCGCTGATGCGCGACCCGCCCCCCTTGCAGTAAACAACCAGGAACATCTACTCCCGACAAATTCAGCATAGTAGATGGCACAATCTCCGGCACTGTCAGTGCGACTATCAGCCCTAGAACCCTGCCTTCCTCCGCCGATGACAACTTCCATCTGGATGAGTCATGGCCGCCTTTTCACCTATTCAACGCCATTTCGGTTGGAATTCCCGGCGAGACTGGTCTCCTCTATCCATACGCCAAGGAGCCTGTCGCTTCCACCAACACGGTCATTGTCGAAGACTCTGGAGACCTGCCTCAGGGACAAGGATTCTCAGATGTCGCCTCTGATCAGTTCGTGCCGTTTCAGCCCCTGCCGCCGGCGTTCTCCTTCCCCCCAGCGGAATACTGGTCTGAACAGCCCGCCGCCACTGCTGAAAACATTTCCCGCCAGACGCCGATGTCGCTCGCAATGGGCTCGCAGTCAGCGACTAAGGGAATGCGCAGCTATCACGGCCATGTACGGTCTCTGGATTCCCGCTGGCTAGATAGCTTGGAGGCTCAGTTACCGAGCAACATGACCTCCCCTGCGTCAATGACGATGCCGCAGGATCCCCCCTACTTCAAAGAAGAACCCAAAAACCAAGATGAATTTCAGTACAAGTCGGAGAGCTCGTCCGTGTCTGGGGATCTCTCCACCATGTACGACCCTTACTCGGCTACAACGGACGGCATCCCCGCTTTTGCCGACCGACAGTTGGATGATGAATGGAAGGATGAGCGAAATGATGGTTCACCATCCGACGCAGCGCAACCCCTACAGAATGCTACTGCCTTCATGGTCAGCGAGAACCCAGCGGAATCCTACTACGTTCCGGTCGATTCTCGGCCGAGAGCGTCGTCTGCCGCTCAGCGAGCGCCTGCACGGCCACAGGCTCTATCCATGCAGTCGGTCGCTACGGTTCGAAAGCGCAAGCAGCGCAACCTTAGCGTGAACCTGGACCAGGTACAATGCAAACCACTGCAGATTGTGCAAGAGGATGGCCAGGGCGGCTCGATTGCCTCCGCTGACTTCATTTCTCCGCCTCGTGGAGCGCGCCGTAAGGGGCCTCTGTCTATGGTCGGAAGGGCAAATGCTGGATTGCGAAGAAAGAATAAGGACACGTGTGTCCAGTGCCGATTGAACAAGCGCAAGGTTCGCATTTCACAGGTGAAACACCCTTCTGTGGTAAAATAGCTAATGCGGGAAACAGTGCGATGGGAATGCTCCCTGCGATGCGTGCCGCCCTACGCTGCATGAACAGCCTTGCGCTCGCGCCTGCTTTTCGAACATCGTTGAATATGGTGTTTGCAATTATATCTGTACGTGCCAAGATCTACTTGCCGATTTGTGCAACCTGGCTAATCTTATCAGCCCAACGAGCGGTCAATCACCCCACCCTGGATGGCTCAAGGCGAGTGCGGATGGAGATTCCTTCCGAATTCGATCTGAATGACTTGATTTCATTCCTCGGTGAACGCCAAGGCCGGTTCAACATCCGGGCCAGTCAGTCCTGGGGATCTCTTTATACCCTGGATTTGGCGGAGACCTATCGGTTTTTGCGTGGCTTGAGCGAGTATAATGGCAACGCGAAGTCGACCTTCCTTGAATTCGTTGACCGACGACTCGTCGAGTCAAAGGACAAGTCGAAGAATTGGCTCACGTGCGTGAAGGACTGTGACCCAATGGCCAACACTTATGTATGTCACTCCTACTAAGGTCCGGAGCCTTTTCCTAATGTTCGACAGACTCTTCTCGCGAGATGGAACAACATGCCCAGCCGTGCGGCCTACAGCTTTGTTCCTCTCCAAGCGGGTGAGGCCGAGAGACCAATGAACATTGACGACGCTGAAGATAGGCGAGAAATTCTCATGGCGGCCCAGCTGTCGCGCATCATCTGCCGTATGCTGGAAGTTGAAGGATTCCGCAAACTGGAACGTGACTTCTATAACATCAAGTGGAAGCAGATCTCTCAGGATACGCACCTGCGATTCCTCAACGAACTCGGTCACATACTGCTGACCCTACGTTGGCGCATGTCCTGGTGGAAGCAACTCGGAGATGGTGGTCGCGAACCTGACCCCAGCAAACAGCACTACGTCGATCGGGTTCATCTACTGTGCAGGATTCTTTACGTTTACTACACTTGTGTGATGGCGAAGCTTCCTTCATGGTCGGCCTCGGAGGTGCCCAAGGGGACGTGGTCTACGTATGCGGACTCGGAGAACGCGGTTTGGGATGACTTCCCTAGCGACCCCACTGACGACGGCTTTGCTCGCTGGGTTGAGCACGGGCAAGAGCTGATCGAGCAGTCGGGGGCTCCGATCCGGATGTCGAAGATGTGAACGAGGCCCCGCATTCTACCCATTCCATACGGAGGCAACTGATACTGACTGCACTTGAGATACCCTTTTGAAGCGCGTTTTGTCTTTTCTTCTCGAAGACGATGATGATTGATGATTGTTGATTTGTTTGGTACCTGGTCACACGTACTTTTTGTAGACATATGACTACTCTTCTCATATATAATTTAGATTTGCCTAGAGTTCAGGTGTTTCTCACTTCACGTACCACAGAATTCGTAGAACAATCAAGCACCAAGGAAACCCAACAAATCTCAACAACCAACTCAAGCAGCCAAAAGAAAAAGGGTATCTAATTTCATTACTCGTATGTATCCTATCTTCCCCCCAGAAACTTTATATATAGAACCTTCCTCGACTTGGCTCCCTTATCTTCTCACCCCCCCCCCCAAAAAAGCAAAGCCATTTTCCCCGCAAGCCCTTATTTCTTTGCCTTGGAAGCATCCGCCTTCTTATCCTTCTTCCCACCGGCCAACAGCTCCAGGTGGCCCGCCCGCTCCGCGAGATTCTTCTCCGTACGAGCGGTCAACCCGGCCGTGAGTTTCTGTGTTCGCCGGAGATAGTTAGTTCGGGGCCATGCTTTTGTTTCTGGGACGGGGTTTGGGGTTGGATTTGGGGTAGGGGCTTCGGGATAGAGTCTAGTTCAAAGGGGGGTGACGAAACGAACCTTGGTCAATTTCTGCTGCTTGATGAGCGAGGCTTTCTTGGGGGCGATCTGGCGGGGTCCGCGTTTGGGGGCGAGGGCTGTGGGACTGATTTTATTGGTGTTAGTCTCTAGGTGATTGTGATGGGTGATGCTGAAGGGGGTTTTGTGGGAGATTGGTTCTGTTTGATTGACGGGGGAGGATGGAGTCTGGGGTGGAATGCCAAATGTGCTAGGGGAGAGAGGACTGAGGTTTGGTGTACTGTACCGTTTCGAGGTCGAGCCGCCCGAGGGCTTGGTTTTCTTGAGGGATCCTTGGACCATTTTTTTTGTTGTTGTTTGGGTACACTGCCTGCAGCGATGAACTGGACGGAAAGAATTTGGAGGAGTTTGGAGGTGCAGTGGAGGGAGGAGGCGTTGGGATGGGTTGATGGATAGTGGTTGCTGGGTTGGGATGGGATAGGAAAAATTGCTTATCGGGGGAGGATCGGTCTTATCGGTCACGTGATGGGTTTGTTTCTTGGGTGTTGGGGGGGTGGTGGTGATTGGTTGGTTGTATACATACATTCTCGTGGGTTTCGGTTTTTGCTACCAGGTTCAATGTATGGGGGTTCTTGTGCTGTCGGGGGAGGTTCTGAAAGGGATTGGTATGTTATTGCCCCGCTTAATGTGAGGTTTGTCAGGGATGAGTTATCTGATTTGGATGGTGAGGACGTTATATATTGTCGGACACGTCTAGGCTGGAAATTTTCCTGGGCAGCAGGCGATGCACACACATCCTCTTTCTCAAAGTCAGCATACACTCTATATCTATCGAAGCTTGTCAGCCACAGGAGGAGCTCTGACTACGTTTGGTCACACCATCACGATAGGAAACCTAGCTAGTGGGTTAAGCTTCGCTGGCCATGCGCTCGTGGTGCAGTGTGTATGATTGATCCATGCAGGTAGTTGGTCGCAGGGCAAGGGCGGACAACCAAGTTACCCAGCCCGGATATCGCAGAAGTACACTGCAGTACGCAAAATGTGTGCTCTTCCAGGCCACGAGGGCACTCACTCCCTGGCGTGCGTCCAGGAGCCCTCGAACAAACAGATTCTCTGTTGAGCATCTCCCAAAATTCCAACAATACTAGACGACGGTATACGTATACCGACGACTGGAAAGTCCCGAGTCGCGATTAACTCAACCTCCGTGCAAGTGGAAATACTCCTCTAAGTACTGTCGTGGTCTGGAATAGATTAATAGAGTGATTGAGTAGTGGAAGTTGCTTCCCGCGCCCGTTGAGACTATGAGTATGTAGTCACAACGTCCGATCGATCCCGTCCCACACGTGCACGTCAGTCAGCCCTGGAAGGAGAACCCAATCTCCGACCAGCCCGCGTCAGCAATTTCAACTAAGATTATGTTTTCTTAGTGATGGAGTATTATTATTCGGATCGTGGATCATCCAAGGAAGTGTCATCCCCCCGAGGGGCGGAATTCATTAAGATGAAACATTAGTGGGAGATCAAATAAGTACAAAGGGCCACCAACCCAACATCCCATCAACGTTACAGTTATTTGCTTTCGTACAACACACACACACACATAAAACATCAAACACAGGGGGGAAGGCAGGGTCCCGATATTTTTTATGGTCATCAGATATTTTCTCCCTTGAGAGGTTCATTCATGTTGTCAAAATAAAAGGGGGGTATTAACTGAGAAGTAGAATAGTGGAACAATTAAAAAAAAAGGAAATCATGTCGAAGAAAGGTAGTTCCACATGCGGGGGGGGCATTGGGGAAGAGGGGTTGGGTTGTTCTTGTACACAGAAGTTAAAAACAAACAAACTTAATACATCCGAAGTTTCTTTCAAATTTGTCCTGGTCGAATAAGTATCGAAGCATATGAACAATCAAACTAAGCTTCATCACAACTGCAAATACACACACCACCACAAACTGCCAAGCTCACGCCCGGGCTAGTTTAGATGGCAAGGACGGCAACCACACCGGCGGCCAAGGCGCCCATGCCCAGGTTCATGGCGTTGCGGTCAGCAGCACCGGTGAAGATGGGGGAGACGGAGGAGGAGCTAGCCGCGGGGGTGCCGGAGGGAGCGGCGGAGCTGGAGACGACACCGGAGGGCTTGGAGGTCACGAAGCCGGTGGGCTTGATGACGGGGACGGAGGTGGCAGCGGGCTGGGTGGCATCAACCGTCTCAGCGACAGTGGAGGTGGCGGCGCTGACGGCGACCTCGGTGGTGGTGGTCGCGGCAGCAGTGGTGGTGGCAGCGGCCTCGGTGACGGCGGAGGTGGTAGCGGCGGCAGTGGAGGTGGTGGCGGAAGCAACGGCGGACGAGGACGAGTAGTAAGGGTTGGTGATACCGAACTGGGTGGAGTACTGGTACTGGCCAGTGCCCTCGACGACGAGCAGGAGTCCGTAGTGGGTGGTCTCGGGCGCCAGATCAGTGCTGGGGGTCCACGAGAAGCTGCCGGTGTTGTCGATGTCCTCGGCAATCGCGTACAGAGTCTGCATGTTGGTGCTGGGGCCGTGGAGGAGGACCAGAGAGATCTTGCCGGTGGTGGTGGGATCCCAGGTGATGCTGTAGGCCTGGCCAGCCTCGACCTGGTCGTTCAGGCCAGGAGTGTAGATGGCATTGCCGGTGGGGCTCTGGGTGTAGTCGGGCTGGGTGTAGGCCGAGGCCAGGGCAGCAAGGGCAGAGATGACGGCGAAGAAACGCATTTTGATTTGTGGTTTAGTTTAGGTGTTTAGGTGTTTAGGTTTGAGAGGGTGGAATTCCTTCGTGAAGAGTGAGTGAATCAAGGAGTGACTTGAGTGGATTAAGACTCGGAATGGTTTGTAGTGCAAAAGAGTGACTACCGTGGGAATGGGGTGTAAAGAACGAAGGACAAGAAGGGTGGGTGAGAAGGAGGGAAGGAAGAGAAGAGAAATGAGCGAGGGGGCGGGGGGAGGTTTAAAGATGATATATGAAATGTGAAATTAGTGAACAGTACTTCAAAGAGGAGAAGAGGAAGCATAGCCCCCCGTGTGTTGTCATCTTACTCCATCTCTACTACCCCTATGGAGGGGGCGAGAAGCAAAAGCTTCCAGGCTGCCAGACCTTCAACCTGGCCCAATCTGCGGCTCATTTGCGGTAGTGGGGCAGCTTGAAATTACTTTTGCAACGGAACTTAAGATACCCAGATGATACATATTTACATGACTCCATACATACATACTACGGCTGAGGGATGCCAGGCCAAAACCCTGAAGAGCCGTGGAATGTATGGAGGATGCAAGCCTCTTTAGCCACCCCGAACCCCCGACTGAATTTGCCTAGTAAGATTTAGCGATGTCACCTCAGTGTGATCTCTGTCCTCCCACTGGCTCATCCAGCGGATTAGCCTGAATATTAGCTGTATTGTTAGCTCGCTTGGATCCCAGCATCGCCGTGTCCCAGTCCGTTCCATCGATAGTCTATGATACCAGCACTGGGCGGGTAATTTCAACTGACTGACTGACTGACTGACTGACTGACTGACTGACTGACTCCACGAGAACCAGAATAGGGGATGGCTGACATCCGAGGACGGAGGCGAAGAGTGTTCTCGCCTGAATGAAGGCGAGGTGCTGATGAACTAGAATCGTTAGTAGATAGAACTAAATCCAGGCACCCACGGTACCAGACTGGATGGAGCCATAGATGGGGGTAAAGGAGGGGGGAAGTCTAACAGAGTCTAAGAAGTGTACAAGTGAAACACACATAACCTTATGTGCGAGCCAGCTCAGGAACAGGGATATTACTGGGTGGTATGATTTACATGGACAAGTCCGGTAGAAAAGGTAGAAGAGGTAAAAGAGGCCGAAAGGCAAAAAGAGAACTTGGAAAGTGGCACATCCTTCCTCCTTCCTCCTTCCTTCCTTTTCAATTGTCCGGATAATGTCCGGTTCTCCTCTCAGGCCCTCAGACCAGCAAACCCTCAGACTCTCTCATTCCTCTCCAGCTGAGCCTGTGCTCTCAATTCATCCAAATTAGACCTTACACTTCCCTGTCTGCCGCTTCAGCCCAGGCCGCCAGGAAATGAGGCAGGCGCCACGAGGTCGGAGCGTTGCACAAACTGGATGGCGACATTGGCTCCAGGAAAAACCCCGATTTTCTGGGCGTGCAGGACTGCAGGCAAAAACACTAAAAAGTCCACGCCAAGCCGATTGTGAAATCCACCTTCGTTCAACCCCACTATCTTGACTTTGGACTTCGGAGTTCAGCCAGGTTTGTTGACTGCTCACTGGGCACTGTTGGTTGACTCTTAAGCCTGGTGATGATAATGCACTGTGCTCGTTTCTCTGTCCCAACGTTGATCCGCGCATTCTTTCAGGAGCTACATTGTAGGATTTTCATTTCGAAACAATTATCTGGCCGACTGAGACTTTGTGAGAATGATGATCGCTGATCACCGATTCCTCCAGTGTGGCACATGAAGTCATTGCTCCTCCCACACAACGGCCCTACCCTCGCCGCTGATTTTCAGGTTCCGTTCCTGTCGCTCATTTCTCGTTCCTGACCGGGTGGGTGGGGACCCTGTCCGAGTGGCAGCCAAACACAGCCTTGGATCCTGGACACCGCAGAAACTTTCAGCGCACTGGACGACAGACTTGCGCCCCCCGGGCCAATGATCGCATCCAATGCTGATTCTACGAAAACCTCATCCGTCATCCGGCACCGTTCCTGAGGGGCCGGGGGGATGGCTGGCCTTCGGCCCTCCCCATTGGGCAAGTAACACGAGGTCGACACCAGAATAAGCAACAAACCTGACCTCACGGCAATGATTGTACGAACTCAATGCTTGATGTGTACCGCCGGGATTCTTTTCAGGGGTCCAGGTCACTCGCGGGCGGTCCGACCAAAGAACAAAATAAATGTCCACGTGCCTTTCAGGGTAGTTCTGTTTTATCTTACAATCTTACAGGCTTACAGTATAGCTAGGGTATTGGACTACTGCCCATGTCTCGGATCTGATCGCAGACTGCGACCTGACTGATATGAGTACAACTAGTTCCTTCGCAGGTGGAGAAGAGCTGACCACGGGGGCCTGGATTGGTTTAGTCGGCTATGTAGGGCCGGTTCACCGTGTCGGTTGTTTCCTAATTCAGATGACTTGTCTTACTCTCCTCCGAGCTTGGCAAGCCTTGTGGGAAAACATATGTCTTTTTACGGTACCCTTTCATCACATTCTGTGACAGAAGACTGGAATACGATCGGGAGTACACCCGCGCGAAAGCGGCTGTGACACGGCAGGGACAATCAATGTCAACACAAGACCAAAGTCCCACGGCACATTGCAGCCTCGGGTGCACTCGTCGCATAAATTTCAAGGGTCTGACACGCTGCCGAGCTACACCAAGGACTTAGCGCCTGAATACGGGAACTCGGTGGGAGGAATTCGTATAATTAGGCTCTACCCTGTCGAACCCTGCCGTAAGTGGGTATCGTAACAAAGAAAATCTCCTGGACCGTCGCTGTAATCCTGCCAGCTAGGGTCCCAATGGCTGAACTGAGAAAGCCCGTCGCCTCGACCCGATGGAAGACCGGCCTCGACCCCAGGCTTGCAAGCTATGTGCCAATAACCATGGATCGTTCTGCGTGGATCATGCGGTCCGATCAGACTATTCCACCCAGGTCACAGTCTTGGTTTGCAACCACTCATCATAACCACCCACACCTCCGAACCGGCCGTATCCGCTACTCTTCCAGCCGCCGTGCGGAAGGACCGGCTCGTCGTGCACAGTCAAGGAGTTGATATGAACAGCCCTGGGTTATAGCAAGAGAGGTTAGGGACAAAAACTCCTGAGCAAAGGTACCGATCCACTTACCCGGCTTCGATCTGTTTCGCAACCCTGAGTCCACGGAACAGGTTGCTCGTAAACACCGCAGAAGTAAGGCCGTACTCTGTGTCGTTAGCCAGTGCAACCGCATCCTCCTCGGTATCAACGACAAGTAAGGACACGGTGGGGCCGAACGACTCCGTGGCATAAAGATCCATGTTCTTGGTGACATCGCCTACAATGACTGGCCGCATGCTGTTGCTATTAGAATCGATGCCTTGGGCCTGTCCGTAAACAAGGTTGGCGCCCTTGGAAAGTGCGTCTTCCACCAACCCCTTATTCTTCTTCACGGCAGCCGAATTCACGAGGCCCAGCGGCGGCACATGCTTTCCGAAAACCTTTTCGGACGCTTCGGCCACCAGCTGCTTGAACCGGTCGGCGACCGATCGCTGCACGACAATGCGTTCGGTGGACATGCAGATTTGTCCGGACTAACTTTCTATCAGCAAATGTCACACGTAGGATGAGTGTCAGATAATTGATGGTCCTTACATGCAAAAATGCGCCCATCGCGCAGCACATCGCAGCCTTCTCCAGATTGGCATCGTCCAGAACGATAGCGGACGCCTTCCCGCCCAGTTCAAGAAGAACCGGCTTGACATACTTTCCGGCCGTTGAGGCGATAATCGAGCCGACGACAGTGCTGCCGGTGAAGTTGATCTTCCGTACGGCTGGGTGGGCGATGAGAGCAGTGGTGACGGCTGCGGCATCCGTAGTCTGATGGAAGACCACGTTCACGCAGCCTGCAGGAAGACCCGCCTCACGAAAGATGTCTCCAATCGCCCAAAAGCACTTGGGTGCTAGTTCGGAGCCCTTCAAAATCGTCGTGTTACCAGCAGCCAGAGGCAGAGCCACTGCGCGCACTCCGAGAATGTAAGGCGCATTCCTGACTCGGGAGTTAGTTCATGATCAGATGATCAACCGACTATGATTGTCGTGTATGTGGAGGTGAGTACAGTACCATGGCGCAATGCCCAGAACCACTCCGTAGGGCTGCTTGATGACCATGGCAGATTCTCCATTGACCGAAGGCACCGCGCCCTCAACGGACGGGATCAATGCCGCGAAGTCCTTCAGAAACCCAACCCCCAGCATGAACGTCTTCTCCACAAACATCCGCCCCGCCCCGGTGGACTCCATCTGATATCGGATCAACTCCTCCTTCCGGGAAAGCATAATATCCGCCGCCTTGTTCAGTATGTCTCTGCGGTCGGAGGGTTTTGTTTGGCTCCATGCGGGGAAAGCACCCTTCGCGGCGGCCACAGCACGGTTGGCATCGTCGACAGAGGCGCCGGCGCAACGGTCAATGACCTCACCCGTCGTGGGGTTCTTGACGTCGAATGCGACATCGGTAATAACCGACTCGTTGTTGACAATCAGGGGGATGATGGCCGGCAGACCATTGGTGTTGTTCTTAGCGATCATCGTTACTTTAACGACCGACCAATTGCCTAATCTCTCAGAAGGAAAAAGATCGAAAGTTGGTGGCGACCAATGCCGAGGTGGGTGGGAGAAAGACTTCGGAGGACCCAGCGGACAGGGGTGTGAGGTACAAGGTAAGATTTTTTGGGGGGAAGGGGTGTTGTGTTTATATCAATCGACCAGAGAGGGGGTGACAGATGAGCGATCAATAATCAGAGAGAAGAGTTGGGGCCGGCAGCGCAATTATTCGTCGGTTGTTGACGCTTGTGTTGTGTAGCTGCAGCCACCGAAGTGAGGGGATGAAAATGCCGGGAGGTTGGCCCGGGGGGAGAACGGATGGCAAAGAAGAGGGGCGATGGAGCCGAACCTTGCCAATGTATGGAACGGTCTTCCCCAACTACTAACTTACTAAGGACTCGAGAAGGGAAAAGAAATGTCACTCATCCATGGGCGTTGACTTTCGGCTTGGGGGTGTGGGGGAGATATGCCGAATCCAGTCGGCCGTTCATTAACTAACGTATGGTCCTTTCACCAGGCTGTTGGTACTTGGTACTCATGATAAGCATGCATAGTTAGTCAGTTGGTCAGTTTGATAATCGACTGCCTTGTGGCTTCCATGAGTGCATCGCGTGTTCGACTGCAGCTGGTACATACTGCAGGATGTACGTGCAAAGATGGTGCATGTAGGCAGATTATTTTCTTGGTCCCCACCGGGCAAGGGAATATTAAGGTTGACGGCCGGATGGCGGTTGAGACGCCCAGTCCAAACCGTTGCCGCTTCCCCTTAAAAATTGTTAGTTAGTTCGAAGTCCGCTGGCAATAGGTTCGGTTTCATAAATCTTATTCATGCTTACCAATCATGCTTTCTCTTGGGTTCGGTGCTTCAACTCGACTGACTCCGTGATGGACACCGGATTCTGCTTCTGCTTGCAATGAATTGCTCTAAGGAGTACTCCTTACTCCGTACTCTACTACTCGTAGATACCTTAACGAGTTACTCCATTCAACTTCTCAAAGCGTCTTAGAGCAGCAGGCGGGAGGAAAGCCTTTCCATTGCAATCCAATGGCAATCATTACTTGAGCCCCTCGCATGCCCGCTGCAACGGCGATCTTGTCCTTTAGTGGATCCCGTGACTCGTGGCGTCCCCGGTTCTTACTTTACTTAGTCTGGCATGGATTGGATGATAACACCAACCACTTCTACGGAGTACTGCTTGTACTATCCTCACTGGCGTTTCGACAATCCAACATGCGGTCACTAATGTTGACCATACCTTTATCTACCGTCATTGATGTTTTGCTGACTCGCTGAGTGTACCTGAATCAGGTACGATAGCGTGGGTCATGGCCCATCCATCCCCAATTCACTTGCATGTCGATCACCAACCAGGGGACAATGACATGCAGGATCTCCCCCTTTCACTCCCCTCCCCCCACCAAAGTGAGCCGACACGACAACCATCTACAGAGTCTGTGAATGACAAAGGTCTGGAAACTTGAACTTGCGTGATTGTTGACGGAAGAGGTGGCGTCATAGTGCCTAGAGTCGATTATCCTTCCCCACGGGGCGCTTGCTGCGTTACTTCATCGAGATAGAGAGAAGGCACACTCTAGAAAACGAACAAACACAACCAATGAAACCAATGAAACCAATGAAACCAATGAAACCAGAGTCCGGGAATATATATACCTAACGCCCGCTATGCTCCATGCCCCTTTATATAACCTTTTCAGCACAACAACAATGGAATACACTACTGCGTAGCTCGAAAAGAGCCCAACAGTCTGCTCCACATTTACTTCCCAGCCCAGATCTTCGTTTGAGATGAAGTTGGTGCCATGTCGGCAAAAGGGCAGGCAGGGGTACTAGTGGGAACGTTGCCACTCCGGACGCTGGAACGATCATCCTCGCTCGAAGTGCCCGAGCTGCTATCGCCCAGGATTTTCTTGTCGCCCAAGTAGCCTTCCTTCTCATCGACGATGATCTCCGACATCTCATCGGCGTACTCCTCGCCGTCTCTCATGCGCCATCTCGCCACGAGGTCGTTCTGGATCCAGATGATCTTGCTGATGGCCCGGATCAGGGCGATCTTGCGCGGTAGGGAGAGGTGGGGGTGCGACATGAGAGCTTCGGTGAAGATATCCTGGATGTAGCCCAGGCAGGCGCCCATGTGGATGTATTCGATGTTCAGCGAGTAGAGACGTTCTTGGGCCGTATGCATCATTCTGGGGGGATTGGTCAGACTTTCCCATTTTCTCATTCTCACAGCATGTGACCTGCTACGGGGTCGAGGCCCCAGTCTCGCCAGGTGTGAACTTACCCAACTTTGTTCAAGTACCGCCAGAATTCCATCTGGGACGGGTCGGAGCAGAGCTTCGTCAAGTACCATCGCAGGAACATCTTCCGACGTTGAATCTGAGGGCTCTCCTCGGTGAAGAACTCTTCTATCGGGGTCTCGTCGGAGGTGTCTCGGGTGTGGAAGGCACGTGCGGTGATGTCGGTTTCGAGGAGTTTCTTGTAGACGATGTTGACGACAGCCGGGATCAAGGCTTTGATGTATTTCGACCCTCCTACCAGCGCTTCGACGTCGCCTTATATCCCACCACGACCAAGGTCAGCTTGGAAAGTTTCGAAACGGTAAATGAGAGGACGAGCACTCACTTGAGTTGAAGTCCAAGAAGTCTCGAAGATAATTGATACGCGCCTCTAGACGGGTATACAGAGCCTTCCGTTCGACATGCTTCATCGGCCGACCAGAACCGAACGAGTGTTCCATTTTCAAGAGATGGTGTGCGTCCTCAAGAGATATCAAGGTGTGACTGATTGAGAATCGAAGGAGGCGTTCTGACAGGGGCTATATGACAGCGGCAGGCTTTTCACGAACTCCTGGGGTTGGATCGAGAGATAAATCTGGCGAGGATGGAAAGATAATGGAAGAAAATCGAAGGATATTTGGGGACCCATGAGAGGACAGCGACATCATGCGATTATATATGTCGACTGGGCGAGGGGGGGGTCAGCGATCATTGGGCATATCAAGATCCTGCCTGCACTGATTGCCAGTTCAGAAAATCCAAATCCGACCCTCCTCCACGCGGGAACGGATCCGTCATGATAATTGTGGGCACTTGATCAAGAGGAGACGAGGGGAGTTTCACTATCCCAACTAAGGACGGCGATGTATCCAGCACGGGTCGCAGGCGTGCAACATCAGACCAGACAGGGACCGTCACCGTCCAACGGCCCTAGAGGATCCCGAGACTTGGCGATTACTTTTGCTCTGCAGCTCGGTGGTCTGATGCACTTACTACTTACTCGCTTTAGGCCAATGGTCTACTAGCCACTGAATGCCGGCTATCATCATATCAACATCATATCACCCTCGTACCCTTTTTCTTATAGTTGTACTCATCGTCGCCGATCTCATTGTGCGTTCCCGACTGCTGCCGGTGCGCTGAGATGCATCCAACCAGACTTCGTATTAAGTTGCATCCTCTTCTCCACGCGTCGCCGCCTGGCTTTCGGGAACATACCCTTTGACGAATGGCATCGGGGAAGAAATTCTCCACGAACATGACCGAAAGAGAAAAAAAGCAAGAAAGGAGAATTCAAACGTTCTGACGTGGGGCGTTCGACGTGTCCATGTTCCACGCAATGGACACAAATCATCCTAAATTAACTCCCGCCCTAATAAAAATGTTTAGTGTAAGGGAAGAGCCGAATGACTATTGTCAGCTTCGTCGAATACTAATGGCGGAGAATTGAATGGCAAAGCTATGTTGAACCACTATTCCAACCCAGGCGACTTTGTCCAGCGCTTAAACTGGACAAATTCACCTCCTAGAAGGCCAGAAAGTATTAAGGATTCCCCTTTGGGTAGAATCCTACGCAGGCCTCGCAGATTAAGGGAGCAATATTCTCATGGTTTAGCTCTGTTTCTTCTCATGCTCCTCCACCGGGCCCGAACGTCGTCGCCAGTCGGAGCCGATGGCCGACCGACAGAACGCAGGATCCCAGCCCAAAGAGACAAGATCGAATAATCCTTGACGCCCCAATTCTTCTTAGCAGCGGTGCTGCTGGAGTTAATATCATACTACAGTTACATCCATTCAGCCACAGTCGATAATAGGAAGGAGTTCTATTGTTGCTCCTCGTCGCGGCCAGCGTTGCGAAAGGCATTAAGACAAGTCCAGACACTGTCGCAATTCATCTATCAAACTCAAATTGAGCTTCGTAATTGAGAGAACTGATGCCTATTACTGGATGCCTCGACCTCCTTACTCTCAAGCGATCATCAGGGGCATGGCAGAATTCCGATGCAATGTGAGCTATCATCTTCAACAAAAGTAGGTTTTTTCGTTCGGCCGAGGGGGAAAAAGATCATCAATAATAGGAGAACAAGCTACCTCAATTGGGGGGGGGGGGGAATCCCCCATTACTAATAGGCAGAAATAGACACGGGGAGTAAAAAAGAGGCAAGAGAGACGATGAAATATTTTTTTTCTTCGCCCGGCTCTGCTCTCATAGGCGAATTAGATTGAGAACCGGTTTCTCCCTACGATCAGGCCACTGCGATGTGGACAAAACAAGACCAAAGCAAAAACCATCAGAGGAAACCAGCAATTCATGTTTAGTTCGTGAAGGGCAACAAACAGAGGGATTAATTATCTAGCAGCAAATCGTCCGATTCATCAGTGGTCTCATTCCACTCATCTCAATGCTCATCACGCGACTCTCCACGAAAAGCCAAAAGCATATGTTAATCAATAGCTATCAGCATAGTGTAACTGACGGTAGCTTCCTGCACAGCGCTGCAATCCTCCGCCTCGGCAGTTCGGATCTCTGATTGTCATGATCGCGGCTGTTACTCTTGGCTTGAGCCGCGGTTGATTCTTCCGCTCATCGTTCGCCACAATCGCCAGCCAGGGATATGATGAAGTGACATCACTCGGGCTGGCCTCCCAACACCCAGCGGGATCCGATCCACTGTTGATGATTCCCTTGGATGGCAGCCTGTCACTTGACCACTACGGTAGCCATACTGAAGATCCTTGTTCCAAGCAACCGTACAGACAATTTCACCAGCCTTGCGCTGCGTGATTGATTCCCACGTTGGGGGTTGGGGACCGGAGAGGTTGATGGTGGACGCCGCCAACATTCGGTTCTAGAGTCGAGTCGCATGCATTGGGCCATTGGCGCTCCCCCTTTTTCGTGGTCCATGGTCCTGTCGCAGGACTCTGGGTGGTGGTTCCAGCTTGCCCAGCTAAGTATATCCTCCGTGAACCCCCCGTCAACAGTCAAACAACGGCCAATTCCCACCCATTCGCAACATTCATATTGGGCTCTATAGAGAGTATTGGGCTACCTCTTACACAGTCTGACTGACTGGATCAAGGGATTGCGCCAATGCCAACAACCGCTGGCACAAGAGAACCAGGCGTGACTCCGCAATCGGCCGTTGAAGCGGTTTTTTGGGTGGGCTACTCCGTAGACAGTAGACAGAGAACAGTAAATGAAACACAGAAAAATCCCGGTCCGCAGCCGAAGAACGCCGTCGGGACGCGATGGGGCTCGGTTCGGTGGTCCACCCGAGGAATAATGGATCCCCCCCCCCCCCCCCCCCCGGTTAGGTCAATTAGCTTGCTTGGGAAAAACGGGCGGGCAGTCCTGCTGCTGCCACTGATGATCATCATTATTCTCATTGGTGTCTCAACTTGCACCAGATTCACAACGAGAGCAATGGACAGGGATCCATGGTTGAAATCACGACGCTGGTCTCCTAGATATTGCCAAGTCAATCGAGCCTTGGCTTTGTTGAAGTTGTTGAAGAACAAAGAGAAAAGGGACTGGAGACACCTTACCGATCGTTAGATATGGGCTCTCTACTTCTACTTTGCCTACTAGGAAATCGGGTACTGTGCGTGCTGCACTTGGCTGGCCCTTAATTAAGCAGCAGCAGGCTTTGCAAAGACCAGTCGATTGATGAACTCGAATGCCACGAGAGCAAGTCTTGTTGATCTGTCCACATCAGGAATGGCTGCCTGGTCTGCCGTGATATTCAATCTAGGACTGGGGTTCTAATAGCAGCAGTAGTACGCTTCATCTTGCCCGGGCTGTGTGATGTCTATGCCCCCAGTCTGCCGGGCTCCATGACCCGATGGGAGCAGCTATGACTCGCTGTCCGGCATCGGCAAAGGATTGCACAACCCTGCTTTCACATGTGCTTTCTCTGCGTTTTCCTTCTGATTTTTCTATTTATCTCCAGACCAATTCTGGCTATCAGTCCGGATGTCTTTACACTAAAACCCGGGGTATGCTTTTTCGTGATCAATCCACATAGCACCATCACGTAGCAGTTATGCGCTGCGGAAGCCCACTGCACCGGCTGGCGTTCACGATATTTTGAGATTATGGGCACGCTGAAATCAGCAGATGCTCCATTGCTCGACTACCAGGTAGAAGTTCGGCATTGACACCATGAGCGCTGCCAAATGTGTGCGACAGCGCCCTTGAGCTTCTTCCTGCATGCTGAACGACACAAATAATAGGCTATACGTGGTTCCGGCACTAGAGCTCCTACATCCGATTCACCTACGCCCAGGGGTTCATGGATAGTATAGACTGACCAGGATACGAAGTAGATCTCATCTCCCCCTGCCGAAGAGCCTCGACGCTGCCACGTCCGCTAATCAGCAGGGTTTCTTGAGAAGAAGCCTGCGTGGTGAGACATTGTCGCGTGTCTTGCTGCCCGTTTCTACTTGGCAGTACAGCCAACCCCTTGCTCGGCAATCTAGTCGACGCACAGCGATCGATTGCCAGATCTCGACCGAGAGGAAGGAAGGGAGATTTAGCCATACTTGGTATTGGAGCACCGACGGGGTCGGGAAGATGGCTCTCTATCCGTCCCGTTCGTTGTCCACCATGCCGAAACAACCGGAGGAAGCGTTAGCCAACTTAGCTTTAGATCTTGACCACGGTACTCCGCCGGGAATGGACAAATTGGGGGGGGGCAGGATTCGGAGCTCGGAAAAAAAGGCTTAGAGCCTTGGACGAGTGGTGGTGGTAAGTGGTTCCTTGGATGGCATGAGTTTCCGAAGTTGGAGTTGTAGATCGTAGCTTAGCCCAGACTAGACAGGCAGACTAAGCTAGACTAACTCCATGCAGGGGTAACCGCTTTAGTCAAACCCCCAAGCGGTTATTTTTCCTGTCCCTTTTTTCTCTCCTAATTTCTCCGCGATGCAGCTGCGATGGTTCGATTGAGGGGAGAATACCTACTCCGTAGCGGTATGATCCGCAGTGGTACGAGTTGTATATAGTGGTTCCCGGAAGCCACATGACGTAAAGACATGGGAGTTGAAAGGGGACTCAACGCTAAATGAGCTCTTCAGGTACCATCGCTTGTCCCACAAATCGATGGACCTCTCCATCGACAGGGTCAGGGGGAGGGCCCGGGATAATCGTTAGTTGATGTGATCGATGTCGGCAAACGATAGCCGAGATTGAGATCGTAGGGCCATAATACTTTCAAGATCGATAGGCTATGATAGCCTTGGATTTTGGGAGGGGGGCCAGGTTTGCAACATCGCAGTGGGGGGATTTCTGGTGTTCGGTGGGGGAGTGGGAGAATCGATCGTGGGTGCACTGTTGATAATCTTGGATCACACGCGCACATTCTGCTTTCTCCGCGGAGCAACTTGTGTGTGCTGGGGTGCGGGATTGGAGTGGTTCTGGGGAGAGTTGATTTCATCATCTTCGGGACGTAGTAGCGTAAATAGAGTGAATGCGAGTGGCCATTTCCGCTCTCTGGTAGAGACTAATGGAAGACACGGAGCAGAGACAAAAAAGGGCGATTGTTTCTTTTCGGAGACAAATTTGACCAGTCAGAAGGTGCATGTGTGTATTGCCTGATAGCAAAACCATGTGTTTTGTTCGTTAGCGGTTGACCATGACTAGTACAGAATGGCAGCAGGTATAACGCGACTTGCGACTCGTTTGTGTTTTGTTCTGTCTGCGTTGCATAGAGAAAGAGGCGAGCCAAACGCCACCCTGGTATGCTTTTCTAAGCTATGCTTGATCGGTCTTCAGTCCAGTTCGCGTCAATGGATCTAGAGGTATGAAATGAAGCATGAATCATGGGATAAGTTGGGGATGTCTTCACATGACGGGAAAATGGCCGTGGTTCAAACCGTTCGAACCTAGGCGTGGCCACGTGACACACTCCGCATCCGGCCCGCCGTTCTTGCCTTTTTGACGTCCTCACTCATTCTTGTGCAGTTCTCGCTCAGTCCGTCCCGTTGTCAATCCTCCCAATTGATTTGTCTTTCGCCGGGTTCAGAATCATCCCCGGTCTTTGGGGCACTTTCTTGACCTTTGTGGCATATTTGGCCGCTGAGATGTTGTACTCAGAGATACCAATTGGTGCCCGACCAGCTGCATAATGAAAGGGAGCGGGAGAGGAAAGAGACAAGAGGGGATGCCCAGAGCTCTCACACTCAATTCCACAGCCAGGATTGCAATCCCCCCTCCCTCCTTCACAACTCTATCCAATGGATTCAACTTCATCAAAGGACAGAAAAGGGCTTTGGGCGAAATCTCCGCCCTCCTCGCTCCATCAGAACCATGGAAGACCTACTTCCTCTCCTCCCTTGCAAAGGTGGAATTGGCCGCTGATCTACATCTGATCGCCATCCGTGACGTCCTATTTAAACTACTGCGGGGGAGCAAAAAGGGTCCAAGGCACAACCCAAGGTTGAGGAGCCTCGGCCGCGCTTCCATGGATGCATGGCGGACGATTTGGCCTTGCGTCTTAATTCTCCCTCTCCTCCTGCTCCACCTCCACCTCCTCCCCGCGCCGCCTCAGGCTTCGGTTCATCCACAATCTATATGATTTGCCGGATCTTTGGGGTCCCTCCTGCAACCGTCAGGGTGACTTCACAGCTCATTGATTGTAGGATCATGTGGCCGGCCTGAATCACAAGGTGGGTCGGGGAAACCCTCCATCTCCGCCAGACAGTGATGGGTGATATGTCACTTTCCACTTGTGATTGCTTTGTCCCTGACTTGACCCTAAACCTGTCACCCTGTGGCGCGCCTTGTAACATCGTGATCGATCTGATCCCCCCAAAAAAGCCGAGAAA